TATAGACCGAATGCAAATATGGCGGATCACTCGGACGGCCCGGTACTAGTAGCGTGGAAGCGAGGCTAGTCAGTCCTCTGGTGCTTTGTTTTGACTACGCGTCCTTTTTTCACTGTTTTAGTGTAATCATTTCGCGATGCTTTCGTTCCGCTGCGAGCCCAAATGCAATAAAAAAGGTTACACATCGTCATTAGGAGAAAGGGTTTCTTTCTTTAACTTTCCTAAAGCACCTTTCATAAGAAAACAGTGGATACACGCAATCGGTCGTGAGGAAGGCAAGGACTTCGTCATAACAGAGCGTACGGAGGTCTATGAACGGACGGATTTATGTCAAGGAAGACGGTGTTCCTTCACAATTTGACTGGTCAGGACCTTCTCCTATAAAAGAAAGGCCCCAACTGAACGGCAACCGCTGCCTGCGAAGAAAAAACTGCTCACCGAAGACAACTCTCATCACTCTGATCACTCTGCGCCTGTAAACAACGAAGTGCAAGAAACCGTCGAGATGTCCTCCTTTGAGCCAAGTACAAGCTTCCAAGAAGACACATGTAAAACCCCAAATTTAGAAAGGCAAATTGCCGAACAAAGCACGAAGGTCGGCGAACTAGTAGCGAAATTGAAGCACGCAGAAAGTGAAATAAACAACCTTCGTCGCGAAAACATCGAATTGACTGAGGAATTGACAGAGTGCGATTGTTTCACGACGGGCCAAATGTTTGCCTGAAAACCCTCTTCTCAGACGACAAAGCACAATGAAAAATTCGTCTAGTGGCTTGAGCTTTTGATGACGTCCTTTCTTTGCAGCTTGAACATTTTCTCTCGTCGAGAGAGTCTGAATTATAAAAGTCTTCAGGGACATCACACACCGCCTCTGGAGCGAATTTTTGTACAATAGTCTCCAGGATTTAAATACTCGAAAATAGACATAAAAAAGTCGCATAACTGAACAGACCAGTGTATAAAGAAACGTCTCCGTCCGTCATGAAACGATCTACGCAAAATAAACGCAAAGACATTTCCTTGCGTTGGCGTTCGCACTCTGTCAACTTCTTAGTCAATTCGATGTCTTCGCGAGGAAGGTTGTTTAATTCACTTTCTGCGTGCTTCAATTTCTCTTCTAGTTCGCCGATCTTCGTGCTTTGTTCGGCAATTTGCCTTTCTAAATCTGGGGCTTTACATGTGTCTTCTTCGAAGGTTGTACTTGGCTCAAAGGAGGACATCTCAACGGTTTCTTACACTTCATTGTTTACAGACGCAGACTGACCAGAGCGATGAAAGTTGTCTTCGGTGAGCAGTTTTTTCTTCGCAGGCAGCGGTTGCCGTTCAGTTGGGGCCTTTCTTTTTTAGGAGAAGGTCCTGACCAGTCAAATTTTGAAGGAACACCGTCTTCTTTGACATAAATCCGTCCGTTGATAGACTTCCATACGCTCTGTTATGACGAAGTCCTTGCCTTCCTCACGACGGATTGCGTGTATCCACTGTTTTCTTATGAAAGGTGCTTTAGGAAAGTTAAAGAAAGAAACCCTTTCTCCTAATGACGATGTGTAACCTTTTTTATTGCATTTGGGCTTGCAGCAGAACGAAAGCATCGCAAAATGATTACACTAAAACAGTGAAAAAAGGACGCGTAGTCAAAACAAACAACCAGAGGACTGACTAGCCTCGCTTCGAGACCACTAGTACTGGGCCGTCCGAGTGATCCGCCATATTTGCATTCGGTCTGTACAGGAGAGAGAAGAGTATAGAGTAGAGTGGAGTGTAGAGTGGAGAGAGTTAAGAAACAGATTTGCACGATATTTTTCCAAAACAACCTTAGAATTACCATCGAAGTAAACAAGAAAATCATCAACTTCCTGGATGTAACGCTTGACCTGACAACAGGCAGATTCGGACCCTATTAAAAACCAGCAACTACCCCTGCATACGTACACACCGAAACGTGCGTTGGCCTCACAGCGACTGATTTTAAGACTAGATGGCGCAACCACACCGAATGTCGTTCAACCACAAGAGACGGCGAAATGACACAGAGCTGAGAAAGTACCTTTGGAAACTCAAGAGGAAGACGGAAGACTATACGATTTCATGGAAACGTTCATTTTATGGAAACGTTGCAATTTATGCCTCACTGAGAAACTTTTTTATCTTCTCTTATCCACATGAAGCCTCTTTAAACAAGCGAAGTGAAATAAAATCCAATCATTGTAGACATCGGCTACAATACATTCTCAAGTATTGTTAACGGTATTATCGGGGCGTGCGCGGTTTTCATTGTTTCCAATATTTGAATTTTTGTAAACAATGTTTTGTGTTCACGTTGCTGAGTTAGAGTTAACCGTCACGATGCCTCAGTGTGTATGGAGTTTGACTGGTGAGTGGATCAACCTTTGTTGGTCTACGAAACAGGCTGTATTAAAATCTATATGCGCGTAACTTGAGTAGTCCATTTGCTACTATAT